ACCACAAGTGAGCCTGCAACACCTGCAGATATACCCCAGATAGCTTTGATTTCACTGCTTTGAATAACAGTAGCAGTGAAACTATGGCAGCCAAGGCTAGTCAGTCCAGGACATGCTATCATCAATAAAGGGAGAACAGACTCATTGCACCTAATTCTTCACTAATTCTGGGTATAGCCATTTATAGTTCTGCAAAGCAGTTCGTTCTTCACCATTAATAATTCAATAATCCCAAATAAATGTAGATACAATCTTTAAGCTACATCATTAAGTAATCCCTTTATAGTAATACCCTCAGTCTATATAGTAAAATAACAGCAATTAGAAGGCAATTTATAGCATAATTTTTTGTGAAGAACCTTTATAATAGATCCCTGCAAATAAACTGAATTCGATACCCTAATCAAGTCTGCACCCACCATATAGTCTCTCCCAGAAAATCCCTTTGAAACAGCAGGATTATAAAGAAAGTTCTATGGGAATTGTCTGAAGATACCATTTGAATTGCTGCTACAGCAAATCAGAACAAACCCAGCAAATGCCATCTTTTCATATATGTCAATTTCCAATCAATTATTAGTCCCACTGCACAATGTTCAATGTGTGGGTTGTTACGTTCTGAAGCAACTAATCTATACGCAGGTATTTTGGCTCTTAAAAACAGAGCACGCCCTCCTTATCCCTCACTCTACTCCACTATATGACTATAATAAATCATAATGGAAATCTGCTAGCTTGGTCCATGATGTCAGAATCAGTGACCCATTGTGATACTATTTGTGTGACTTTCATATACAATTTTAGTCTAAAAAAAGCCTATTTGGAAAAATTATGTTTTCATATGTACTTCTAGATCATAACATAACACGGGATGAGGGTTAAATCATTATTTATTAGACACACTGAGATCTTTGGATTCAACAGAATCTAGAAAGACATATCAGAAAATGTACCAAATACAGATCTGCTCCGCAGGCTGTGAAGCCAGTCGGATAACATGAAAACAAGAGTTTTCTTCCTAGTGCCAGTATGCAGGGGTGAGGAAATGGATTTTGTGATTTTATTAGTTGGGTAGAAAGTTTCCATTCCGAAAGTTGTCAGAATTGATTAGAATCTTTCTAGTGGCTGGGAATCTTATGATGCATTCTCATTTTCAGATAGGGATACATGAACATGCACAGATTAAGTATTACCTCAAAAAAACATGTAGGTTTAATTTCAGGTGATTTCCAGTCAGTTCTTCTTTTATCTCAAAATGTTTTTACCCCAAACTATCCTCAACTGTGAAATCCATATTTAGAGAGTTTTTATGTGAAGTTTTTATGAGTAGGAGGAGAAAAGAAATTATGTCAAACATTTTCCACAATCTCATGCTTTGAGGCAACTTTCTTCCCTTCCTAAAACCATCCAACTTTGAAAACAGGAAGCCTTACGTAGCTTAGAAAGTATGGTGTCCTCACAACAGTGCAATAACTGAAATAAATCTACACCATCTTGAAGGCAAACAGTGTCTTCTGGTTACACATGGCCTGCTTACTCACTGTTTGACCTTAGGCAAATTGTATGAACTGTTTCTCTTCTCACAATGTCTTATCCAAATAGCAGGGGTCACATATCTTCAGAGGAGGCTTTTGAGGATTAATTCATCATCTGTTAAACACTCAGATCTTTGGATTGAACAGACTCTAGAAAGACAAAGTGTCTGCAAATATTGTACAGACACTATACAAATATCATACAGTCATCATTATCCTGTCCCCTAGGACCAAGTTAATTTCCTCTCACAACTGGGATACATGATGACTGTTCCCTCTAAATGTTACCTTTAACCACAGAGAAATCAAGAGGTTTATGAAAAGCTGCTGAGTATTTTAGTTAGTGGCTAGTGCATTCAGACTTGGGTGAAGTTCCTACTTTCTCCAGCTTCCATCTTTCTCAAGCACTTGGAAGAAGGTGACCTCATCTGTACCAGCATCAGCATCTATAATTCAGGTGTAAGTGTTCTAACATGCAGAGAAACTTGGGCTGTTCCATACTCGACACCAGGATTTCCATGTAAGACATGTGCATAAATGACTGGGCATAGGCCATGAACAGTGGTTCTCAAGTTAACAGCCCAGAACAGAACTGTGGTTCTGAACTCATTTGCCTATTGAGGTCAGACACTTGACTTTCCTTCCTGCATGCTTCCTCTTGCTGCTCCTATGGTATGTAAACTGATGTTTCAGGTATTGTAGGAAGTGGGGAATGTACCCATTAAGTTGTTCATTCCCAGCATATTTAGCATCAGCCACCAGGTTGAGACTCCAGTGTAAGAAGGCAATTGGTCCGTCCAGAACTCATCCCATCAGTCATGAATTTCTTAGCTTCAGACTGTACCTTTACCATTACTCTTAGCATAGTTGTGGCTTCATTCCCCCTCTACCCCCAATTCTTTCCCTTTATTATTCCCCACCCAGGACAGAGATTTCCCCCTGTAATATTTAAAACAAGATTCAGGATAAACAATCTTATTGAAATGTCTGAATGTTAATAAGAGGTCATTTGCCATTGTTGTGGTTTCATATAAGTAGGTATTTGAACAACCAAAAACAATTTGCTCCCTGACTTTGGACCAGTGAGCTAAATGTCATTCCAACCTCAGATTCTTATCTGTCTGGGCATAGGAACTTCATTTTCTTACAGTGAAATCAAACAGCACAGTGATCTGTTACGTCAGCTCCCTCTAGTGGCTATAGAAATTTCACACCCTTTCCCACAGCATCTAGCCACGTCAGTAACTAAGCAGAAGACAAAGCAATGCCTTAAATGGCAAGCAATAAGCACCTGATCCAATGCCCGTTGATATTGATGGACAAATAGTTACTCAGTCCTGAAAGTACTGGCGTATGCGCTGAACATTACTGATGCTTGCGAAATGTGACTGGATCACAGGTTCAATGCTTTTGAAATTTTTGCAGCAAGTTGTGAATGACAAGTGAAAACCACCTCACATGCAGAACTGCTCAGTACTCAAGAAAACTATACATGCTATGCTGTTGTGTGTGTGTTGTACTGTTCCCATAGCTCACCAAGGGACGCAGAAGTCCCTAATGTCCAACAAGTTTAGGGACTGAATCTGAGACCACATTGGAAAAATGCCTCAAATCAAATGAGGCTCTCTTGCACCTCCCTCAGCTCTTTTCAAAAGGTTTACAACTTCAACAAGGAATCAGTTTTAGCAACTCTCTGCCCATACAATCCCCTTTAGATAAACACTAGAGAACATAACAGATAATTGATCACTTTTCTATATAAGTTTTAAGCCAGACTTTCAGAGTGATCTAATGTTCTAGTACTAAAATCTATACATTGACTTTTATATCCTATAGCTGGGATCTCATTCTCTATTAAAGAATATTGTAATTTCAAAAGATTATTATTAGTTTCATCCCTATGTTGAAATTCTTTATTTCTGCAGAAAGTCTGCTCTCTACTCCTAAACATGTCCTGATTATGTTGCTATAGCTGCCCTTCCTCGGTAGAAAGTCTTAAATTTGAGGGAGGGGAATCCTCCTTCGAGGTCACCACAATGGAATTCAGATCTAATTTTCTCACACATGTAGGAACAACAGAATACTGGGTCAGAGAGATGCCTGATACAGATGAGGGGGGGAAACTTTTCCTTAAATGTTTCTCTTTCTTGTATAATTGGTTTAGCGAGCTTCATGTCCTAGTGTTGCCTTATCTTTATTTCATTGTTGTAGCCAGCAGCCTGTGCGCAAGGTACACCCATCGAGCAGTTGTGATCATTGGAGGACTCCTGGCTTTCTCAGGGATGACACTGGGGTCTTTTGGTTTCAGCACTGTCTGGATGTATACAACTACTGGCTTTCTACAAGGTACAATCCAAATCATGTCACACACCTGCACTTCTTCTGACCCCTCTTTTAGGGTGCTTTTTTAAATATCTAATTTCCACTATAATGTTACTGGTTTTATTTATTTTTATTTTAAAGTTTTAATGCACACATTTACTTCTCCCCTCATTTATGTGAGTAGGACTATGCAGGAGAAAATTGCAACTGCCAATAGTCATAACAGGCAGATTGCCATCATTTCCCCCTGCAACTAACTGCAACCAGAAAACCAGCACCTCTTGATGTTAAAATTAATCAGGCATTAAAAGTTTTGCATTGCACCCTGAGGGCCTAAAAGAAGCAAAAGTGCAACAACATACATTCCTAATGCTGCACTTGGTATGGAATGAGTTTAAATCTCTTAGTCACAGGGTAAAATCCTCAGCCTCCAAATCTGTGCATTGCTGCATCGAAGCAAGAGCAGCGTGCCTGTATTCAGCAAGCTGGAGATTCTCCTTGACCAGGGAATAATGCTGACCTGACTTGTTTCAGCCAATAGCAAACTGGGCAATAGTCTTTGGAAAAACAAAGGTTCCGTGGTGAGGAGGCAGTAATGAAAACTTATTTATATGAACTGCTTTGTATTCCGGTTTTTCCAATTAAATGTGTATATCTAACAGTCATAAAATGCTTGACACAAACCTACAGAACATGCAGCACAGCAGAGCTAATGTTTATGGTGAAACAGAACTTTTTACAAGTCTTGATTTTAACTGTGCAAATTTAACACAGAAATAATAATGTGAAAACAGCTTCTGTTGTAACTGTCTCTTACTGCATAGATATGTGAATATGGTGAAGTGTAATTTTTTTCTCTTTCTCTGCAGGACTTGGGATTTCCTTATTATGGACACCCGCCTTTAGCATCGTCAGTCATTATTTCTCTAACAGACGGGCTTTGGCCAATGCTGTTGCCAGTGCTGGAGAATGTGCTTTTGCATTCACCTTTGGTCCTTTTTTTCAATGGTTAATTGGTTTATATGGGTGGAAAAGTGCTCTGTTGATCATAGGTGGCATTCAATTCAATATATGCGTCTGTGGAGCAGTGATGCGACCCCTGAAATACAGGTGTGTTCCTTAAGCTAAGAATTTTGAAGTTCAGAGACCATCCTGCAAAGTTGAGCCTAAGACTGGCAAGAAACATGCATCTCTCATCACTCACAAAACATTCAACTGGATGCTTTTGAAGAAACTGGAATTCATGCTTTATGCCATTTTTGGTATATTAGCTGCTATGAGTTTTTTCATTCCTCCATTATTTTTGGTTCCATTTAGCTACAGCCTAAGGATAGATGAGTCTTGGACTGCATCTCTGCGGTCCATTTTGGCTATCATGGACTTCATGGGCAGAGTATTGTGTGGCTGGTATGCTAACCTCCGCTTTACTAGGACAATCCATTTGCTGACAGTGACAGTTGTTCTGATCAGCACGTCTTTGATGTTATTGCCGCTGGCTAACACTTACCTGTCTCTGGCAATATTCACTGGCTTTTATGGCTTTTTCTTTGGTGCGACAGTGTCCATCCACATCACAGTGCTGGCAGATGTCGTGGGCATGTCAGATTTTGACAGTGCCCTGGGGCTCTTCATGCTTATTAGAAGCACTGGAAGTTTTCTGGGGCCTCCTCTTGCTGGTAAGTTGAAATGGCACTTTCATCAACACAGCTTATTAGTGAACTGCTAGTTATTTCGTAGTGATGGTCTCAAGCTGAGACGTTTGGATCTGGTCCAAATTTCCCCCTCGTATGGATTTTAGCCACGTCTCAAGTAAGGCTACTACTGCCCTGAGACTCTAGTACTGACCACGGAGTAGCACTGGAACTGCTCTGAGGTAATGGTGGTGAGAGGGTTCCCAGGCTGGCTAGTTAGGCTGTACAACAAGTGCATCTTAAGGAAATGAACTTAGATATTCAAATGTGTTTTCTGGGAGCATCTCAGCCTATTAGTATATTAAATGGGAAGCTGGCATAAAAAAAGAGTGGGAAGATACAGATCACTCATAGAAACTTAGAGTGAGTAGAAATACGGGCTGAAAAAAAAAAAAACAACTTGGAAAAATTCAAGCTACAGCACTGCAAAAAAAAATGCCACACTAAGATAGCTATATAGGCTGCTAAGCAGTGATGCTGAAGGAGACTTGGGGTGACAGTGGACAGCAAAGTAGATGTGCATGGGCGGTCAGTGAAGGTAGGGCTGGCAGAGGCTACCCCCAGCCCCTTTGGCTGAGGCCCCGCCCCCCACAGGAGCCAAGCCACCTCCCCACCCCCCACTAAAGGGAGGCGGGGCAGCACGCCACACATGCACTCCCTCCATGGGAAGGGGAGGAGGGCAGTTGGGCCCCAGCCTCCCAGCCCCTGAGCATGGAAAAGGCGGGTTCAGTAGGCCTACAGTAGGCATCCTGGCATACCAACAGTCCATGTAGATATGATTTTGCAATGTGATATGGCACAGAAAACACTAATTTGATTGTAAGCCAATGCATAGGAGCACTATTCAAAGACCACTGAATTCAGTGGGAGTCTTTTCAATTACTTTTGAATCAGTACCACGTAACAGCACCATGTCAGAAAGCAAGATGTTTTTATAGCCCTTTTCCATATAGTTTTGGGTCAGACCACCTCCAGCATTTTAAGCGCAATTAACTTCATTTGAACTGAAATCACTGAACAGCCTTAGTTATCCGACTGCATTTGCAAACCAGAAAGCTGTCTACATGGATGAGCATGGACAAAATTAATTTTACCTGCATTTCACTGCTACATCATGATGGTGCACCCTCAATACCCTATCCATCTAGTCATGTTCTCTTATGCCATGCATGTGTCTGTGGTATCTGCAGGCCGTGTTGAAGCCCAGCCAGAAATCAGAGTTTCTTTTCTAATTTCCATGATTCTTTGAAAAAAGGACTATCCCAAAGAGCAGAGATACCAATAATAGAATGCACCAGATGACAGGACCCCTTCTTGCCCCAGGTCATGGCTGAGACTGACTATCAGGCTGCCATGGGGCAGCTCACACTTTCTTTCTGAAAATTACTATAGTACTCGCCAATGACTATCCAAAATAAAGAATTTTACAACAGCAACACTGCAGTGCACTGAGCATCTACAGCAAAGTACAGTAGGGTTTGTGTTTATGTATAAACAGGTGCCACTGTCTGTGCTGTCCCCCATTTTTTTGGCTAAACAGAGAATTTTATTCTGTAGAGCTGCCCGTCTGGTGGCATCTTTCATTAACATTAAATTCATGTACACAAAATAAATGATAAGTAAATTGTTCTCTGAATTGTTCCTTTTAAGATTACTAAAATAGGAGTGATTGAATATCCCCACAGCTACTGCTCTTAGCACAGAGAGTTGCAGATAGTGGCTGATGGTATAACAGATATTTCAAATGAAGGACTCTTCCCAGCACATTCCAACATCTACAAGGAAGATGAGCTGCATGTAGCCCTAGGATGACTGTACCTGGCACCTGCACATTATACCATTGGCCACTATCAGAGACAGAGTATCAGGCTTGGCAGTCCACCAAGAGAGTTTGATATGGCAAAACACATCCCTTTTCTGCTGGGAGTGTAGGGCCTTTGAGGCAAGAGTGGAAGAGAAAATTGAAGGGGGCCCCCAGGCTGCCTTAGGGACTCAGAAAATGCCATGCACTTAATTTACAAACAGGTGTCACTGGTGCTCTGGAGTGATCAGGTGCAAAGTCCATTTCGACTTCATGGGAACTGCATGTGCTTGCCCTAGAGTGGAGCTTGGCTAATCATGAAAAAAGGGACCTAAGTATTTAATGTTTTTTTCCGATCCTTTACATTAATCTGACCTGGCATAGGTCTGACACTACCATAGCTCAGTGGTCCCCAACATGGTGCATTTGTGTGCGCCTGCCAAGTGCTCAGGGCTGGCCTGGCCCCGGGCATGTGGCGCATGCATGGTGCCGGAGCCGGCCCCGGCGCATGGTGCACGGTGAGCACCGGCCCCAGGAGTGCCGTGGATTGGCCGCCTGTGCTCTGGGTGCGCGGCGCTTGGGAGGGGGGCATGCCAGCCTTGGGCGCGTGCTGAATTGGCTGCCCGCGCTCCGGGCACACGGCGCTTGGGGGGAGGGCACCGGCCCCGAGCACGCGGCCCTTGGAGGGGGCGCCGGCCCCGAGCGCGTGGCGTATGGGGGGGCCCGCCCCCGGGCACGCGGCTATGGGGGGGTCCCCACCCCCAGGCGTGCAGCTATGGGGGGCCCTGCCCCTGGGCGTGCAAGTGTCCCCGCCCTCTGACGCCCAGCAGGCGAACGGCCACGCCCCCTGGTGCCTGGCAACCTCAAATGGTTGGGGACCACTGCCATAGCTAATACCAGCAAGCATGTGAGAAACCCCAAATACACTGAGGACCATGAGGCCTCTATCACTAGCCTGATGAATGTTAGGAGATTTTCTTTTAGTAGGGTCAGGAAAACACTTCAGAATTCACGAGAGATAGCACAAACTCTCCAATAGCTACTACATTGTTTGGAAATTAATCCACAGTAAAATCTGTCATTTCCCTCTTTCACTCACAATGGCTACCCATTTAACTCATCTTATCACCTCCGCCCTACATGGCTTTGGCATCAGGGCTCTCCCATCTGTCCTCATTGGTTCTTCTTTCAAATCTTTGTTCCCTCTCCCCTCCCACTGATTGTCACCCCCGCCCCAAGCTCTTTGTTGCCTCCTGACCTTGTCTATGGTTTCACTAGCACTCTGCCCCCTCCAGCCCAGCAGCAGTAGCTGTTGCTGCTGAGGGAGAGGTATCTGTCAAAGAGCCCAGCTGGCAGCCATTGCCTGCTCTACAGTTCATGGAAATTGCGTGGGAAACCAGTTCACTAGGACAGATGCTCAAAAGCTGGGATGGTGCTAGCAAAGCTGGGACTACTGGCTTGCAAGAAACAAGCAGTCAGATACCTTGTAATCCACGCGGCCAAATTTTGAGGCAACAAATTTCTGGCTGCTTAAGTTGCACACATACATCTGCCTGTTGCATCCCAAATTTGCACCTGCAGAAGTGGCGACTGCACCCTCTAACAGATGCTTACACACACACACACACACAGTTACCTACTGTGTTTGAGCAAAGAGCCCATCAGCAGCCATGATGGATGCCGTTGCAAACAGAGCAGTTTAGACAACTAGTTTTGTAAATACGGGCTTAAACCTTTTCTACATTTGCTGTCCAGACAAGTTTTTTAAACTGGTGAATTAATCCTTACAAAGCCAGAAGATGGACTCTATTACCGAGAAAATGTATTTCTCTTCTTAATAAACTCTCTCAGCAATTCACATTTATTTCCGTTTTCAGGTATCTAAAAGGGTGTCATAAGGAGGAGGGAGAAAACTTGTTCATCTTGGCCTCTGAGGATAGAACAAGAAGCAATGGGCTTAAATTGAAGCAAGGGAGGTTTAGGCTGGACATTAGGAAAAAGTTCCTAACTGCCAGGGTAGTTAAACACTGGAATACATTGCCTAGGGAGGTTGTGGAATCCCCATCTCGGGAGATATTTAAGAGTAGGTTAGATACATGTCTATCAAGGATGGTCTAGACAATATTTGGTCCTGCCATGGGGGCAGAGGACTGGATTCGATGACCTCTCGAGGTTCCTTCCAGTCCTAGTATTCTATGATTCTTCCTGACAAAGTCACACCACTACCATTTGCTTTTCCCACTAGGTTTGATTGTGGACCTGGCAGAAGACTACAGTGCTCGCTTCTACATGGCAGGAGCCACTCTCATCCTATCCACTGTATTTTTGGTTGCTATAGATCAACGTCAGCAGAAGAAAGAGCAAGAGAACCAGACTGACACTAAATCAATGAAGCAAGTTCTGCTCTTCCCTTCCCTCCATTTCCTGAGACTTAAGACTGGAAAGTGTCAAGATCAAGCTATGGGAGTGTGACCATTGCAATTCATCTCTGAGAAAATTTAGGGGCTTATTTAAATGTTTAGGTTGAATACATTCCAGATTTTTTCCCCCAAGGCTACTGAAGTTGTGTTTACACAATTCTTGCTGATACTCTGTGTAGGGCTGTGTAAAATTCATAAAAAAAGTCACAAATTGAATGCAAAAAATTCCCAAATGTTCATATATTTTAATATGAAAGTTGCAGTCCATCTGAATAAAAATCCAATTATGAAATTAAATGTATATATTTTAACCCCAAAGATGCAATTTTTAGGTTGTTTTCTTTTCAGGGGATGGGAGAAGAGATTAAAATACACAGAAAATAGCAAAAATATTAACAGAATTTTTTACCCATACAATCTTCACTCCCTAAGTGCCTATTATGTTTTATTTATAATCTGGATCATTTAATCACTTCTGTCTTGTGATATTTATTGACAACATTTTGAGCCCATGCGGCAGGCAGGACAGAACTGAAGAGCAGTTCTTAAACGTCTTCAATGTGTGGACATAGTCCCTTGAGAGTGAGATGTTTCTGGGACACCTCTCCTCACCAATTTTCCGTCTAATTTTTTCCATCCATGTATGGAATACATTTTGTTATGTGCACTGAGGCATATGTGGATGTGTACCACCACTAGAAATACATGCTGCTGGCTTTGGACACCCTGCTAAGGTTCTACCACCTGCTTTTATTCTGACCTTTTATCAACACTTTTGTCCTCCCTATCTACCAACAACCTCTTTACACCAAACTACAATACTGCAAAACCACCATACTTCACCTATAGTCTCAACATTCACCACGTATGCTAAACCAGTGTTGCTCAGAATGTGGGCACACCTCTGGGAAGTGGGCATGATTGACTAATTGGATGGGGTGGACTAGACAGAGACTTTCAGTTGTTTCCTAAAGTCTTAGCTTCAATTTTTTAAGTTAGTCGTTAGCTGCTAGGACAGCAAAGAGAATTTCCAAAACATGAGCTCAGAGACGTGTCTGAGTTTGAAGAGAGCCTGAGACTACAGCTCTAAGGTGTCAGCATTCCAAAAGGGTGTTTTAAGTGCCAGTGATAATCTTTAGATAGCAATATTGTTATCTAGTTCACTGCTAATGAAAGCACTGAAGAAAGATGAGGAAGAATATTTTGAAGCATTACAAAATACAGGATACATTTTAAAAGACAATTTACATTCATGTATTTCAAACTCTAAAATACATATAAACGTTTAATAACATTTTCCTAAAGGAAATCTTTCAAAACTTTGGAAAATGTTCTAAACCACCATCTTATAAATAAGCTGTTAGAGATATGAAGAACAATAGATATGCCAGCTAAGAAGTTGACACCTAGAATCAATTTTCTAAAAAGACACCAGTGACTACCTCAGCTGCTTCACCATCAACATCTTCAAAATGCCAGTGTTTATAGTTTGGTCAAGAGTCTAAACCACCCAGTAGTCAGGTTATCTCAGATGCACTATATGACCCCTTTCTTTAATTTGGCTACCAACTCTCTCTATTCCAGCAAACATGGGAAGCTATAACACCAGACAATGGGCATGGGAGGCCATTAATCAGGTTATACTATCTTGTTTACCTCCATCCTGCCTTGGACCCTGCTTCTCAGACCCCTTTCACTATCAGTAGCTGGCACAGCAGATGACATTGTTCATATTTCTATGAGCCATACCAGTTCCATTTCAATACAGAAGAAAAGGGTCCTTTGGCCTTTCTTCTGCTTCAAGGGTTTTCTCAAAAAATATGGTGGCCGTAGCAGCCCACCTACACCATCTAGGAGTAACAAGTCTTTCCATATCTCTATGACTGAGTACTCAAAGACTGGTATTATCAGGAAGGGCAGTTGGCAGTTCTAAGAAGAACTTGGCTTTTCCCCTTCTAGGGCCACAAATAAATCTTAAGAAATTGACCTGGAGCTTTACGCAGTAAATACATGTTAGTAGCTTCTGGGGCATAGGGCAGCTTGCGTTCTAACATAGAACTGCAGGTTACATCTTCAGAGTTTCCTGGAGTGGCTCAGGACACTATGTGTACAACAAACACAATCTGAACTACCTGGTGTCTATAAACAACCACGTCTACAAGACACACTTGCCCCCAGAAATGGAGAAGATATCATGCTTGGTATAACCATCATCATCCCACATGTCCAGCTGGCTTCTGAAGAGGGACACATTGTCTTCTCAAGAATATGTTCCTTGAGGAGAAACCCTCCTTCTTTAATGCTCTTGTTGAGAGGGAGGTGCAAACAGGATATCTGTCCCTCTCATGCCCGTCACCTAAGCAATGCTTCTGCCTCTCACTTACAGGGATCACAGCCCCATACATGGTATGCCGATTGGAATTTTCTGAATATTAACCCCATGAAATACTAACACTAAACTACAATGATAGACCGAAGGAGAATTTATCTAAGGCTAGCTACCTGAGGCTCAAAGGTCATGAGGAGCTCTAACTTCAACTTGTGTTGCCTACGGGTATGGCTGGAAAAAGTTTCCAACACAAATACACATATATCTGCACTTTAGGTGCCAGCAGCATAATACAGCCACCAGAATCCATACCCCCTCAGTAAGGCCTCAGTCCAGTACTGGAAGCTGCCCTAATCTAATATAAGCTGGCTAATTGTTGGGGGTTGGTGCAACACAATGCACTTCTACCGCACCCCTTTTCACACACCCCTCTGCTGTGAGATGCCACAGGACCTGGCTATGAGCACTCGAGATTCTCTCCCTCTCCCCTCTCTCTTGGAAGGCACTGAGGAACCCTTAGCTGAAGGAGATCTGTCTGCTTTTCTGGCCCTTTGTGGCAGCCAAGTAGCACAATCACCAGCTTGCAGCCAAGGAACTGTCCCTATTTTTATTAAAAATAATGAAATCTTCTGGTAAGGACTGAATAATGCTAACTTAGCTTTCTATAATTAACAACTCAATCCAGCTCCAGGTGCTGGCGAGCGCTTTGTCGGAGAGTCCAAGTGCTCTGAGTTTGCAATGAACTTACCATTCGTCAAGCACGCTCTGCATCTCACAAGAGGCACAAAACATCTTACGTTATCAGGTCCCACGTTACTGAACATTCCTAGTTCTTCCTTACTTTTCGGACTTTAAGTTTCACTGAAAAAAAAATCACAAGACCTCATCCTAGAGCGATGAAATGACACAACTGATGACATAAAGACAATGGGCCCACTGTTTAAAAGGTCAGCCAGGCATTTTCAATTACACAGGAAGCCTTTATTCTCCCCCAGTGGATGGCCACAATAGCCTGCCAGAGGCTGATGGATGTCAGCGAACGTCTGGATTGTTCTGTGTTTTGAACGTATTTTTAAATTTTTCTTTCCAAAATGCAATCAGCAGAGAGTTGACTTTCTAACTCACAGAGCAGATTCCTAAAGACAAGGTAGCTGGGCAGAACTCACTCAAGCTCTGGGTCTCCACAAATACATTTCTGCCCCACAAAGATCCAGCACTATGCTTACTTCAGTCCTTTAAGGTTGTTCAAAGTTAATCAGTAACAAAAACACTACCCCAAACTGTATTCATCCCACAAACATCCCAGTGGGGCCCTGCCCTTGCATTCAGTACTTGTTTCCAAAACCATCTGTGCTTCCGTAGATCCCCTTCCCATTGTCTGGTTGTCCCTTCCAGTTGCTCTGGCTCTCCAGTGAGCTCCATCCCAAGACTGCAGCCTGGCTTCTCTTCCACCATGAGACACACAGAGCTGTGACCAACAAGTGCTAGGCCCTCTCCTTTTATATCTCCTTCCCATGTTTGAAGTCGGCTGCAAGTGTGGCAGATTGAGGCACTGGGATCCATAGGTTTTCCCTAAGCCTTTCACTGCCATTGGGGAGCCTGCCAGCTCCCTTAACCCTCGCTGGGCTCCTGAGCAAGGTGGGGGTGGGCTCCATGCCCCTGGAAGGAGCAGGGCCTTGGGTAGAAGAGGTGGGGCTGGGGCTAGCCTCCCCCAGGCTGCCCACAATGCCTATCTCCACCAGCCTCCAGTACAACTGCAGCAGTGGCGTCTACTGGAGCTTTGGGCCCTTTTGAATTGCCAGACCCCAGGGCACTTGCCCCTTTTGCTCCCCCTCAGCGGGCTTGCCCCCCTCTCCTGATGTGTGGCCTCCCTGACCCATCACAGCAGTTCTTACAGAGCTGGTACTTGGGGTTTCAATGATCTCAATCTGGTGTAAATCAGGAGCAATGCCAATGAACTCAATATGTACAGGGACACAGGTTTTACAACAGCATAAATGAGAACAGGATTTGCGTTTCACCTTAACAATTGTTCAACCCTTCAACTACAGCATTATACCTCTGTGCAATAAGGCAGTTGCACATTTTTTCCACTCACTGCTATTAATGCCAAATCATTGGAAGCAAAAAATATTAAAATCAGCTGAAATATTTCTTCATTACTGCCCAAGGCAAGACAAAACAAAAATATACTGGGTTGTGTTATCACATGGGTTTTTCATGAATGTTGGTCTGCTGGCACTGATGGAGAAAAAAATTACATCTGTTATTTAGCATCTCTCTCTTAGCAGTGAAACAGTTGTCCAAGGGTGGAGACATGCTTATAAAGAATATGAAATCTGCCATTACATAAAGTTGGGGACTGGGAAAGATCAGTTTTGATACCATTACCTTTTTATATACAGGTCTAAAACCTGATCCTTCAACCCCTTTTCTATTCAAAACTCACAGAGCACAAGTGGAATAATGCAGAGGAAACACTGCTAGACCAGATAATTATATAGGAGACATTTATTCAAAATGGGACAATTCTGCTTCTAATTACTATGTTCTCCACTGCATTTGTTGTATTGTCATGGTTCCAGCTAAGAGGATTTCTTAGGTCCCATGGTATAATGGAAAGCAGAATTCGGCTCAATGAGTAGAACTGATTAACAAGGAAGATGCTGTCCAGACTGGGAGAACTATGCTAGCTTGAAATGTTTGTCCAGAAGTGTGTACATTTTTGAAATGTTTGTACACATTTTCCAAAAGTAGTAAGTCCTAAACACACTAGGAAAAATCCATTGCACTGGTATCAACAATGGAGGCAGCTGTAGAGTAGACAAGGTTCAGGTGTTTTTATCACCATATTAGTTAATAAGGCCAAAACAGGGGAAAAAACAGTGCAGAAAAAATGTCTTGCTTTTCTGAACCCTGTACTAACTAAATCATAGTGCTGAGGTTATGGTTTAGGAGGTGGTTCCTTTTCTCTTTTTACTAGAGCGCTTGCTTACAGTAAAAATCTGTTGAGATCTGTTGAGCTACATTGGTATAAGGGCTCTTTAAACAGTATCTGTTGAGCTACATTGGTATAAGGGCTCTTTAAACTGGTATAACTGTATGCACACAATTTGCACCTATTTAAATATCTAAGTTTCTAAATTGATATGGCTACACTAGTACAAAAACCTGTGTAGATAAACCCTCAATAATGCAAAAACTTTGTGTCAAGAAGCACAGACTCAAAAACAAAAAACAATAAAAACAATTTTAAATGGGGACAAGTATGTCCACACTAGGCATTTTGGCTGATTTAGGAAAATTGGTGCAAACACTGTTTGTGGACCAGCCATATGCCATGTATGGGAGAGCACGGAAAGTAACAGATCTAGTAGCTGTTTGCTAAAAAGAATGGGGGGGAAGAAAGCTGTCTCTCTGCAAGGCCTCTTTCACGCTAATTAAAGCTATCAAAGGCTGCACCATTTGGAATTTCAACTCGTGATAGTCATGAGTTGTAGAGACCAAAAAAAAGAGAGAAAAGATTAAATGTAAGAGAAAAAAAGCTGCATATGCCTCCATCTAGTAAGCAGAGTGTGGGTCTGTGAAGAAGGTAAGGCTTTTGAGCTTATTATTCAGCTAGAACTTCCTTATGCTATTTTAAAACTAAGTTTCAGAAGAGATTTACTAGCTCAGTCTGAATTCTCTGAGAAGTTATTTAAATTAGGCCTCATTCATTTCTAAATGGGTCATTTTGTCTTAATTTGGTGATAAATTATTTTGGGAATACAAAGTAAGATTTGCTCATGCTATTTAATCAAGCCCAATGTATTAATTGATGTATTCTTTCTATAGTTGTGTCAGGTAAATTAGATTTGAACTGCTCTGTCTGATCAGATTTGGATGGTTAATTTCCCTCAGGCACTTTGGCAATTAAGCATGCACAGATAGCAAATGTACAGTAAATGCAGATCCTCAGCAGATGTAAATTGGTGCCGCTCCGCTCTCTCCAAGTCAATGGAGCAGTGCCAATTTATTCTAGGAAAGGGCTTATCTAGACAACTATTACAGTGGCACAGTAGCACCAGGACAGCTGCACTGCCGTAGCTCTCCAGTGAAGACACTAGCTACACTGATGGAAGGGATTCTTCTGCCAGCTTAGGCAATCCCCTAAAGAAAGGCTAGATGGACAGACTTCCCCCAGCTTCTTAGTGCTGTCACTATTGGGGTTGGTTTAACTGCATTATGTGGGGTCTGAATTTTTCACATTCCTGGGTGACAATTATATAACCTAGTTTCCTAGCATAGACCAGGTCTAAGGGATCTGGTTTTGGGTGTTTAAAAGGAACAGAAACACACCAAGTAAAACATTCACCTTCTCTTTCAAATATTTCTCCCCCACCTCAAACTTAAAGTGTATTATCAACAGATTATTCCTGCTCTCTAAAAGTCTCTCAAGAACCTATCATGTGATCATACTAATTTACAAAATCTACATTGTCTATAGGAGTGATTTCAAACTACAGTGGACTCACCTAAGGTTGCAAGGAAAACTCATTTCACTCTTGAAACCTGCAAATTGTTAACATCAAAAAAGAATAAGCCAAGTCCTTCTTTTGGTCACTGTAGTGCAAACCCAGTAGTAACTCCACTGAAGTTGGTGGAGTTATACGGAAACAAATTCAAAGTTATGGCAGCGTGACTGACAGCTGAGTTTGATCCAATGCATTGTGTTCTTGTTATCACCACCTTGCATGTAAATGGATCTACTTCTTTCTAAAAAATTTTCTTTAAAAAACAACACCCTCTTTCTTCTGATAAATAGACATGGCGATAAATAATATATTATCCTTTAGGAGTATAGTAATGGATTACACTTTGCACTGAATGGCCATATTTTTGTCCTTGTAGGTGTGACCAAAACCATTCGTACAAAATGCCCAAAGGAGATCACCAAACAGATGGCATCTTCAGCAGAGGGAAGCGATACACTTATCTTACAGCAGAAGAGTAAGTATCAAACAAAAGCCTTGACAATGTCAAAGCCAGTGAAAAGAGTTATATTCAGATATGCGACACCTTCTAAAGCCTGTTTATAATTGACTCAGCTTAGAGGTTTTCCTCCATGATGGGAACAGAACTCTGTAAGGTAGGATTTTCCATCCAGGTTCTCCGAAAGGAAAAACAGAATCTAAGAAAAATTAATTAGAATTTCTCTGTTTGAGGAAAGTAAAGTCTATCTATTTTGTAGTTTTCTATAGTATCAATCACTTACGTATAAAGAGACGCACTGAACAATTAAATAAACTCTGAATGGCAGAATCCAAACCAGAGGATGAAAGAATTAACAAAATTAATGGAAGTTTAAACTGCATTATTAATTCAGTTTACCACAAGCATTAAAGTTAGTGAGTTTTGTAATAAGAGTGTGATGCTTATTTAGCATTATTCATCTGAGGAAGCTGCACTGAATTTTGGTTTTGCTATGTCATCAGAACCTCAACAGGGGCATCATCTGACCAAATGTGAGCGGTATTGGCCAAAACCCACGGCATACAGTGTTGTGCCTCCCCAAACAGGAGGAGGCTTTGAGGCTGGGTCTATCCTACCAAAATATGTCAGCGTAGCTACGTTGCTCAGGCGTATGGAAAATTCACACAGACAGATGCAGTTCTACTGAGCTAGGCCCTGGTGTAGGCAGCACTGTTGACGGGACCGCTTCTCTTGTCGACATGGCTACTGCCTCCTGGGGAGATGGAATACCTTCGCTGAGGAGAGCAGCTCTCCCATCAACATCAGTAATGTCTTCGCTATGTGCTGCAGTGGTGCTGCTGCAGTGAGGTAAGTGTACACAAACCCTTAGTAATGATGCATGAAAGTGAGTCTACATAAACTAGCACCAGGTGAGACTAACCCTATGCAAAACAAATGTGAGATGTTCGCTTTGATACGTAAAGGCTTATTACTTGTGTCCTGAGAGACTAACTTGCCATTTGGGTAATATTAGCGAAGTTGGCATTTTCAAAGATCCTGGACATAACAGCCCCCTCCTGATTTGCAGATGTAGAATTTGCTCTGTATTTGGTTTATCCAGATTTGGTGACCTTTACTTTATGCTGCAAGATGTACCCATTTCCCCACATTTCACCTTGTGAGCAGAGAATAATGAAAGATGGCAGAGGGAAGGGGTATTCCCAAGATCTGCCCCAAAAAGCCTGAGCCCCTAAAAGGGAAGGAAAGTCGGTTTAGTCTCCGCATTCATTCTGAGTCAAATGTACCTACATCTGTCCACAGTAACTCAGCTGGATCTAGCTGCAAGGAAATGAAGCATCACACAGTTATGAAGTGGATTATAGCATGTGTGTGTGGGAGACGGGAGGCAGGGAGAGAAGTGAAGAGGACCTGGTAGTTAGGCTCAAAGAGAGACAAAATAAGGAAAGGCCTCTCCATGTCCACTTGGAGCATTCAGGATATGAACGTTGCCATCCACACAATTTTCAGTACCACAGTTACACTCTCATAAGCTCTGCAGAAAAGACCAGGTCCTCTATCTATAGAGCCTGCACGAGAGCGGTAGTGTCAGTGGAGATGGGGTAACAGGCAGGGAATCAATAGAAACATCCAGCTGTTAGATAAAAATTATCCTGGGCTCCCTTGAGGGAGACAGGATAACAACAAGCCACATGGTGTGAATTTTGGGAAGTGCCTGGTGAGCCATGGGGCAGAAGAGAGAGAGAGAGAGAGAGAGAGAGGGGTGAAGAAGGCTTTGGCCTTGGTAACTCACAACTAAGATGTGGGAAAGAGATCCCTAGAACTGGAGACTAATGGCAGTTGTTGGAGGAAGGGTTATCTGAAGAAGTGAGCTGTGCCCATGAAAGCTCATAATACCATCTACATATTTTGTTAGTCTTTAAAGTGCTACCAGACTGTTGTTTTCAGAGGAAGGATGTGAGGCTTCTCTGAGAAGAGATTATTGGACACAGGAACACTGCCAGTAGAGTCTTCTCATGTCCTGGCTAGGCTCTGGCATAACAATGCATCTGCTGGGAAACTCCTGTGCAGAGCTGCAAGGAAAGCAGCAAGCAGTTAGTCTGTGCAACGAGACAGGTAACATGTCTCCAGCCAGGTGAGGGTAGCCTGCTGGAAGAAGGTGAGAGTGATAACTGGGCCTTCCAGAATTTGACACCCTGAGAGCTTAAGAATCCAGTTGATTGCAGAGAGCTGAAGGCCCCCAATTGTTTCTGCAAGGAGGAAGCACAGATATAAAGTATTGTGGTTTCCACGCCCACTCTCTCTGTTCACTTCTGTGTCCAACGTCTTAGCAATAGAAAAAGGAGGAAAGGAAAACCATTCTTCTTTCCTCTAGCAGAAAGAGTGACAGTTAAAAGGATAGGGACAGAACAGGGGAACTGAAGTGAGCGTCCCATGCTTCTAACTAGAAGGCAGCAGCAGAATTGGAAGGAAGGAGGGAACCAACAAGAACTTATTAAATGGGTAAAATCTCACAATTCTTTGTCTCCTGGCTTCTTTAAATGGCAGTCTTGAATGAATCCCCAACATAGAACGGGAGAAAGACAGATGTCAACATATACTATTAAACCCATAGCCCCCAAACACAATGTAACCCAAATCCCCACCCTCTACCACACAATCACCGTGCTTAACGTGGCATGAAACACAAGTAAGTTGGGAAGCAGTCTGTGCACAGTTTACAGTCTTACCTCTTTTCTTAAGTTCTGAAATTATTTATAAAGCCAGTGGCAATCCTTTTGTCTCTGGAATTTGCTATAACATGGTACATGCTGGACAAAGATCCCAGTGTTCTTTGCCTGAAGAGATTCAGCTAATAAATATGGGATGTCTTCCCACAGGTGAGGCATTTCATTGCTTACATATTTTTTCCATTATGGGTATGATCTTTTCAGGAAGTAGGGTGCATTCTATAAGGGTTAATTCTTTGCAGATCAGTATTTGAGGCTCTCACTGCATTTTCTCAGTTGCTGAAATGGTCTCGCTTTTGGCAAGGACTTTCACTAGTCATTGGGGAGGTTGGCAGGAACCTGAGACCCTTAGACAAGAATGTTCCAGAGCAGTTGAAGCTAAGAACAATTGTTTTGTCAAATTTCACTGAAAAGTTTTGGCCATTTCCTTTTCTATGGTTATCTAATCCTCAAAAAAGTTGTTCGCCATGAAATACTGATGGCTCAGAAATTCCAACAAATGATGGACGTTTCATTCAGTGGGCAGGTTGTACAGTATACAATAAATAATGCTGCTGTTCAACAATTATTTTTATCTTTTATGTTCACCTTGTGATCCCAAGCTTCATATTCTGTATATCATCCAGACACGGCAGGATTCACTACTCACTGTCCAATGGTTTAGAGATCAATATAGTAATAGTTTTATTTTTAAAAGCACAGTATAGTTTGTGTAGTCACATAAGCCTCTTGAAATTGCTCGATAAATGCAAATACTTTACACAATTGTGCTAAATACACTAAGAAAGAACTTCATCTAGTTTTTCTTGTGCAACAGGGCTGCAGGTATTGGAATCCTTGTTGTGGTTCTTGGAGTTTTACTGATCATTGGCTGCTGGTATTACAAAAAACGATGTGGCTATAAAAGTCTTCCGGTAAGTTCGGCAACTCATTCTGGTAGGGTACACAATCATTATTATTATAGTAGTGACTAAAGGACTCAGACATGTAATATAAGTGAGCTTTTAAAATAAGAAGATGAAGGAGAGGAAACCAAGGCACAGAAAAGTGAAGTGATTTGTAAAAAAAAAAAAAAATTACATAGTACATTAGCAGCAGAGCCAAAAATAAAACCGTCCTGCAGTCTCTCAGTCCAGTATGTATTCATTTACATACTGTTGCCACTAATATATATTGAACACCTCAAATATGCTAAGCATTGTAAGCCAAATCAAAGTCAGTCTCTCCCTGTAACAGTTTACATCTAAATAACAAATGGAGTGGGGGAGGGAAGAGGACGACAAAGGTTACAATTACAAGCTTGTATGTTTGATAGAGCAGTAGTATATGTAATTCCTGGACTGTCACTGCTCATTAAAAGTGCTGTCATATGGGTGGAAATCGGGTAAATATTGCATTTTATTAATATCAGCAGAACTGACAAATGGGGCCTGTGTGTTGTGTAGTCTTGCTTTAATCTTTATATTCATGCCCATCAGTGTGAAAGAAGCTATTTGCATATATTTGTATAAAATGTGCATGTATTTGCAACTAGCCCTGCTATAAGTGATACATTTATAGGCATACTCAAGGTTTCTTTTTCTGTCACTTTCTCACCTTTCCTTACTGTCTATCTCAGAGTAAAAGCTCTGGCGCTGGCAGGATGAGAAGCATGGCAAGTGAAGATGTCCCACTGGATAGCAAAGCACTTTTACAGGAGTGCAGCAATTTTCACTCTGTGGTAAGCTGAATTCCAAGGTTTTGTTAACGTACAAATTACAACATTTAGTCTGCACTGGAGTTAGTTGGTGAGACAGCTGTTGGTAAAGTAGTAATGCCGCACTCTTTTTACTGAACTCTTAAGCACAGCCAGAAAAGCAATGCTAATATATTTTTTTTAATGGTTCCGCTGCTCTTAATAGCAGTATTATTTAAGGACAACCAAGTAAATCGATATTAAATGCTTTAATAGCAATACATAGCCAGCTAAAAGATCGTTATAATATTTCAGATGAAATGTAGTTTGCTTGTCCTTCAGTGCATTCTATTTAGCATCTTCACCTCAATTTTCATTACCACAGGTACCTGATGCTCCACCAGCATATGACAAAATCTCTGCAGCACCATCACCACCACCTTATTCGCCATGATGTTGAGTCAGTTTTAAATGCTAAGTATACCAACTGATTCTCTTCGTGCTTTTGCTTAAACTCACATGCAAACCTAATGTTCTTTATGGGTAAACTGTAATAATAAATGCACATTTCCATGAATAGTTGCTGGCACATACTGTCTTGTTCAATTTACCTTTCATCCAAAGTGTCAGTTACAGATGAAGTTGAACATGTTTTGGCTTTAACTTTTCATTCCATTAGGTAGATTAATTCAACATGCATGAAGATCACAAAACTGGCTATCTTTTTTAATTCCCCATATTTTTTCTCACTCAGGCTGTGTCTAGACTACAGGTTTTTTTTTTTTTTTAAAGTGGCCTTTTTTCAAAAAATCTTCCCTTGCGTCTAGACTGCCGCCGCGTTCTTTCAAAATTAAATCGAAAGAACGTGGCAGTTTTTTCAACAGCAGTAAACCTCATTTTATGAGGAAGAATGCCTTTTTTCCAAAGTGCTCTTTCGAAAAAAGGCATTCTTGAATGTAAACAGCGCTTTTTCGAAAAAGAGCATCCAGACTGCCTGGGTGCTCTCTTTCAAAAAAGCAGCTTGCTTTTTCAGAAGAAATTCTTGCAGTCTAAACGCTCTCTTTCAAAAGAAGCTTGTAGTCTAGACGTATCCTCACACACACACACACCCATGTGAGCAGAGATATCTTTGCTCTCCCTCTCCTTTTTATGCTCCTTATAAAAATAAACGTCTGAGATTTCTACAAAAAGTCAGCATAAAATGGGCAGCAAGAACTGTCTTACTACATCTACTATTGTAAACACTTTCCATTTCTCCTACAAGCAGTTTTGAAAAGCACATTAGCCACAGGGACTCAGTTAAAGCCAGAACATGCGTATAATTGACAAAATATTCTCTTTTTCTGGGTCTTATCCCCATGTCACTGATTCTGCATCCGTGTTAGACACAGCTCCTCAGGAAACTTAAAATATGAATGAGGCAACACAGGAATTGCTGCTTAAAGTAAATAAGTTTTATCTATCTTACACCATACCTGTCATTATGGTATAGTCACCATTGCATTTAGATCCTTGTTGGAAGTCACACCAGAGTGGAGAAGGACGGAAGAAGCATGGAGTTTGAAATACCATCCTGTCTACAGAAATCAGATTTGCGACACTAATCATGAACTGGGAGGCATGGCAGTTCATATTCCATGAAAAATACACAGAGGATTTCAGTCTTCAGCGCTGTCAGTCTTCCACCTTTCATGCACACTAACTTCAACAGAAAATAAGCATGTATTAAGATCTTTAACACACATATGTATAATTAAGAGTTATGAGTTTTAAGAAAAAAATCATATTTTTACGAAGTCTTCATCTGTAGCTAATTCATTGCCAAGCACTGAAGACGGAGAGGTTGAAACAATTAGTAACTTGCCAGTGGTTAAGAATCTGGTTTCTCCTTAAATCAATATGCAAATAAAAAACCCTTAAGACAGAAGAAGTTTTAAATCTACAGTGACTTCTTTACCTAACAATCTTTTGTATGGAGGTACATAACCAATCCTACATTTGTATTGATACTTATATCATAAATTGTTTGTGGAATCAGTTAAATTAGATCCCTCCATGCTTGTATAGTAATTTTGACAAATTATAACTAGCATATCTGATTTTATAATTTATTAGATATCTGTACTTAGAATATTTAATGTTGTATCCTCCATTAATCTCCAAACTAAAATTATGCCAGAGTTTGAACAAATTGACTACTTACACGAACTGTTTATTTGCATTTCTTCTAGGCAGGCAGCACTTGGATTTGTTTAGCAATAAGAAAGAAGAATTAATAGAAAAAGATGCAAGATGGTCAGTTTATTCTGTTAGAAATATCAATAAATAAAGGAAATGGTAGAAAGATTAACTTTCTGCAGGAATGAAAGTCAAAGGAACAGCCTGAAATGGACATGTATAAATAACCAATAATTCGGTATACTGAGACATCCTTTCTAAGGAAATAACATTTCAAGGAAGTGAATACATACACATACTTTTATTTTTTTTAATCCTTATAGATCCAATAAGGGTTAAATGAAGAACTGTTCAGAAGAGCTGAGGTTAACCACAAAAGCTTTAATTGATTACTAATATGCTTTGATAATGGATATCCAAGTTAGATTTGCACAGGAATCCAGCCATGCTGAAGGTATCTGTATCAATCACACACTGAGTGCTATCAAGAGGCACTAATGGCTGCTAGCCAAAGTTACATGGAATTAGACTTCTAGAGCTCCGCAACCAAAGTGCTGACCTATTTTGAATTTCAGGACACTGATTTAGAAGTGCCCAAATGGTAGCTGAGTTCTTTTGAAAATCAGGCCCTACCTGTGGGTGCAGAGCTCTTCAGAGAACTCCAGCCACAGTATTTATTCTTCTCCAGTTGAGGCACCCTTGTGTGGTCACAAGGCATACTGTCAAGCAGTGGGCTTTGTTTTCAATTTGTGTCTGAAGGTACAAGTGACAAAAATAAGAACTGTTGGAGTGCTTAATAAAAAAATTTACAATTAACCACTCATGTTAAACTATCCCATGGTCAGCTTTGGCCTGTCGGTGCACAAAATAGGGTCTGTAACTAAGGGGAGTCCACTGTGGAATGAAACGAAAAGAGTAGACAAGTCAAAGTGAAGCCAATCTTGGTTGCAAGAGATACCTGTTTGCTAAAACTGCACATAGCGAGAACCATCTATTTGCTAATGCTTTTCCATCATCACTGACATAAAAATCCAACCCCAGCAGATCTTCTGACAACTTGAAAAGAGTGGAAAGCAAAATCCTCCGTGACGACTGCTGTGTAAAAAGCACCATGCAAAGAAACTGTAATTTACCCATTTAGAGTTGTGATACTGTGAGCTTTACAGGAACACCTAGAAAGGCCCGAAGCATTTTTCCACAATACTAAAAATTGCCAAGAATATTCACAAGTGATTCCAATCATTTTTACACATTATACGTCCTACAGAATTGAGGAAGAAGGAAGTCTGGAGTTGGGTGATAGGCAAAGAGAGAGTAACTGAATCCTAAACCAACAGTTTATCTATTCCAGGAGGTAGTGTAGCTATCTGTTGTCCTCGACAGGCCATAGATATCCTGTCAAGGTGGCTAACATTTAAAATATATGTTATATTTTATTTTCTATATCTTAAACGCACACCCAATCAGAATTTTAGCTGCTACACTAAGTAAATGGCAAGATGACAATTTCAAGGAAACACATAACTGAGAAATGCATGGAAATCTGTGCCCTGGCAGGCATGAAGAGGGCTGTGATCTTTCCTTTAAACATGAGGCTAACGGGATCTGGACTTCTAACGCTGCTGTCATCTGAAGAAGTTGGCAGTGCCCACGAAAGCTCATGATACCATCTACATGTTTTGTTAGCCTTGAAGGTGCCACTAGTCTATTGTTTTTTAAGTTTGCCCTGGAAGTGTTAGGTACTTTCAAAGTATTAGATTTTGAATTGTTGTAATGCAGTGTTTCCCAAATAGGGTTCCGCAAAGTGAAAATAAGGGTTCCGCGAGAAAATTCCATTACAATAATATTTTATTATTTTTAAAAAAGAATAATTAATATTATGTGATTTTTGTTTTTACATATGTGCAATTAAACTAAAGGGTTGATCTCATGACCTTGTTTAACATTTGTTTATTATTATCTTTACTTATTTGTGGTCTACTTCTTCAGCTCCATATATTAGACTGTTATTAGGGGTTCTGCAAAATTCTTTCACGTTTAAAAGGGTTCCGTGACCAAATACAATTGGGAAACACTGCTCTAATGGAATCATGCAAGGATGTAAGTGGTGTAAGGGGCTAGCCACTCTCCTGAGTGGTCACATTAGGACTGCTTGCATTGTGGTTCTGGCTCTTGTTTACATAGACTGTACTCAAACTGTTTTTCACCACAGGAGGAAGAGGGTGACTGAGTAGGCAGAACTAACACTAAGACATGCCAATCAGCAGCTCTGGATAAGCACAATAGGGAGAAATGAACTGTACCCCTTTTCAGGTCTGCAATAAATTACTTTCCCTCAAAGCAAGAGGGGAGCAATGAACATGCTTGTGAGTAAACTATTAGTTCCTACTTTACTTGGAGTGGTCTGTCTACAAAACCCATTCCCTCAGGCTCAGGGCTGAGCCTGACTTACACAAAATTTTTCTGGAACAGCTGTGTTGTTTAGGAGTGTGTTATGGGGGATGGGAGGGAGAGACACACACCCCAACTGACACAGCTATGCCACCAAAAGTGTTAATGTAGAACCAATTACATTCACAAAATAAACCTTGCATCAGTATAGATTATTTTATTCAGGGAAATGTATAAGCTATACTGGCAAAAAAGACTGTTGCTGGTTTAAGCTACATCTCCAGCAGGTTTTGCTAGTATAGCTATCCCTGTATACTATAATAGTATATAGTAGTGGCAAACACAGGCAAAATCTTAGGTATTATCTACATAATCTGCAAGGGTAAAGCAAAGTAGGGTGTAAATGTACAGCACTCAAACCTGTTGCATATTAACTAGTTGTGTGAACTCTGCTACCACATGCAAATAGTTCTGTAATGCACTTTGGACATACTTTGAAACTTCAGTATGTCAAGGCATTCTGTGGAACTTTTAATGCCTGGTAGCAGGATCCACATGAATGGCAGGCTAATGTGTTGCAGATTTACAGCTTGACTTGTCTCACAGTAAAAGACTGCCTAGACTCACCCTTAATGTGGAAAAAAATGACTTTGCAATCACTCTGTGCATAGAAAATTGGGCAGAACAAGGCAACCATTTTACTGTTAGAAATAGCAGGTATTTTAGACTAATAGCCTATCCAACTTGCTATGTTGGTAAGTAACTAGTGTTCTGTAATAATCCTCCATGAAAAACAAAAAGGCAAGTAGCCAGGATATGAATGGACACAAAGGGACACCGATGACCAGATTTACAGCAAGGTGTCTTTACATTGCTCTGGCACTGGCAACCATAAACAAAGTGTCAATAATTAACCTGCTATAAAGTGCTTTTACACTGCTAGGGTGGTTTAAAGTGGCCTTGGCTTAGAATGTATGAGAAATAAAATCCAAACCACCTATTAGTATTAG